CCCCCGCCTGCAGCGGTGCTCTATTTGCATGGCATTTTACCAATTGCCTTTGCAACGTAGCTGGTTGGGGAGTCCCGTCTGCTCCATAAGATCACAACTTGTTCAGATTTGGCCGAATTAGCATTCTCCTCTCGGAAAGCTGTTTCGCAACACACATACACACAACACCCCCCCCCGCATGAGCATTGCACAATCTTTCCCGCCTCCCCACCTGCTGGGGGGCATGCGGCAGCTTTCCAGAAAATTGCAGTAATTCAGATCAGACTTTCAAACTGACGTGGAAAAAAGTGCCCCAAAACTGTGCCAACTCCAAACTGGGTCGGAATCGGTTCCGAGATGCCGGATTGGATTTGACACTCCGAGTTGCCTTAGAACTGAGGGGCCAAATCGAGTATTGGTACGGCCCCATAGCCACCCTATGTTCGTTTTTCCGAACCATTGCCGTTTCCAGATGTGCAGACTTCAACTCCCAGAATTCTCAGAGAGTACTGGCTGGGGTATTCTGGGAGTCACCCCATCTAGACATCAGTCAGGTTGAGAAACACCATCCTAGGCCCGTTTGCACACCTGTTCGTTTGGGAAACCCACTGCAATTCCTTTCGATGTGCAAAGTGAACGAACAATACATATTTATCGTGACACAAATACCCAGATAGTTGGAAAACATCTCTACTATTAACTAAATAGCCATTCTGAACCGAAGAACGATCGTCTCAAATTGAGGAAAGACACACCATTTTTCCTCTATTTTGGGGGGCAGAAATTCATCCCTGCGTTCCCCCCCCCACCTCCAAGTTTCACACCACACCGACAAGGAAGAAATCAGAAAAGAATCCATCTGCAAAACCGGAGCCCGCCTCGCAAATAGCAGGTTTAACACACCATGCCAGCCAATTTTATCCAGTCCCAAACCTGCTCCTTGTTTTCTTCCTCCCCACTTAAAAAAAAAATATATGGAAAAGCTAAAGAAAGAAGCAATACGATATACCCAATTTGGCTTTCCGAAGAGGCAACGGCCGTACACCTTCCGCCAAACACTGGAATGTGTTTAGTCTCAGCATGGTTGTTAGAAAGAAAATTCAGTTTCTATCAGACCTCTGATTGCAGGAATCCATCTCAGGAGATGGATCGAGGCGTGTGTGTATTTACACAAGACAGCTGACCGTCTCCAAGCGATGTTAAATACAGCCTTTTGTCAGACAAACATATACCCTACATCTAAAGCACACCCTGGCCCTGAGTTTATCCAGTTTTTTTTTAAACCCTGCCATCAAATCATCCCTGGTTCGAAGTGCCTGGCAATGCAAAAGGCTTGGCTGTATAAATGGATAACCTATCAGGGATCAAGGGCCTGGGAGGGCTAACTGTTTATACCTTGGCTGTTTTTCTATATATATATGGGGAGAGATGCGGCTGAAAGTTTGAGGAATCTGGAAAGTGTCTTCCTAAGTGCAAGTCAGGTGAAGAAAGGGTTGAGCGGCGAAGGCCATGCGTGCATTTTGATGATCGTTCTCTTTCAAACAGTTCTGCAGAATTGCCGGTGGGGGTGGGGGATAAACCCGAAGCAACGTGCACATGCTGTTTGTTTAACATACAGTGGGGATGAACAAACTTTCGATAGCCAAGGATCTGGGTTTTGAACAGGAAGAAAAAGGTGGCCCGGAGCAGAGCCAGAACAAAAATCGATTTCAGGCTACGACGTTTGCTTGCAAGTCCAGGGGATACGTTCCCGTTTGCTGGCAAGTTCTATAGAGGTTCTTGGGGGTCCCGAGCACTCTGAAGCCCATCTCTTCCTTGACTCACTCCCTAGCAAAGCCCTGGCCCCTTGGGGAACCTTTCTCCAGGCCAATGCTCCGTTTCCCCAAGGCGCCACTGGACCATTTGGCAACAGAGCGAGGCGAGAAGAAGGCTGCGAAGTCAAGCCAACGTGCCAAGAGGGGCTGGGCGCAAAATCAGGGAACAGCAGCCTGGGAAACAGATTTTTTCATGGTCGCTGGTGCCCAGTGGCAAAAGAGCAGACTCTGAGCATGCACACCCCATTTTTTTCCTTTCGAGTCTGGGGAGAGGCTGCCCACCCTGGGACGGAGCGAAGCACCTTGAGAGCAGTGCCCCGCTCGCCTTACAAAGGCAGCACCCCTTTTGTACAACTTATCCAGGACCTTCTCCCTTCCTTCCTTCCTCCCCTCCCAACTCCCTTTCCTTCTCCAGGCCCAGCCTTTTCCTCTTTTTCCTCTCGCAGCCCCCTTCATCCCCCCCACAAATAAACCTCCCATCACTCACCCTTTGGACAAGCGCCTGGCACGCTCTCCGGCACCCCTTCTTTACGTCTCGGCCGGCGCGCTCGAAACACCCCCAATTCTGGCCGGGCGTGGAGGGAGAAGTGACGGGCGGGTGTGCCCTGGGAGAGTGCGCGCTCGTTCCCCCCGCCCCGCTCAGCCCCCCACACCGAATTCTTGGCCCCGAGACAAGCAGATGCTGCCAAAGGCCTCCAGGCAACATCTGTTTCCACTTAGCTCCCAGCAAACACCCTTTCGCGGCCAGCCAGCTGTTTCTCTCCTTTAAATGGGCTCTGCCCCTCCAAACCATGGCGTGCCAGCCTCTCCGGCATAGGGGCTAAGTGACCCTCCCCTTTGCTGCACCCCTCTGGGAAGAGCGCACCCCTTCTGCACGTTGGCACTAGAGTCTGGCTGTGACATCCAGATGTTGCTCAGGGCGCTTGAAAAACGGGGTCGCTGGCGGGGGCCCCAAGCTCAGAAATCAGCCCAGGAGGGGCCTTTGGAAATGCAGAGACTCCACACCCTTATTCCACATTTTTCAGACCAGTTTCTAGCCCTGCGGGGCGACAGCTCCTTGCCAAAGCGTGTCAGTTTCAAAGGTAGCCAGAGACAGTGTGACGGGGCACCCCAGCCAAAATTGGATGGTTATAAAGGGGTTTCTGCTAGCGTGTTTTGCGGGAGGGGTTGACTAATGGAAAGGTTGGATAGCAAGAACTGAGATGTCAGAAGGATTTAAAGCTGAATGCCTAAAGCAGAGTTTCTCCACCTCGGCAGCTTGAAGATGGGTGGACTTCAACTCCCAGAATTCCCCAGCCAGCCATGGAGTTGAAGTCCACCCATCTTCAAGCTGCCAAGGTGGAGAAATACTGGCCTAAAGACTTGGTTGGGGTAGGTCTTTGCTTTCTGGACAACACTGCAGAAGGGGCGTGTCCTTGCCTTCTTCCCCCTGCATTTCCTGGTGGTGTTTCATCCCAAGACAAAGCAGGTCAAGCCCTTTGACAGGCACAGCCAAAATGGGTTAGGAGGTGCTGGGAGAACGTGTTTAACAAAAAGGCAACAGATATATATATGGACACGTGTGTGTGCGCGTGTGCTTGTGTATACATACGTGTCTGTATTCACTCCATCACCACACCTTCTAAGAAAACTCCTTCTATGTATTGTCGAATACAGAGAGAACTGCTCCTGCCTGTGCTCCTGCACTCTGAAGATGCCGGTCACAGGTGCTGGTGAAACGTTATATGGACACGTGTGTGTGCGCGTGGTCTTGTGTATGCATACGTGTCTGGATTCACTCCATCACCACACCTTCTAAGAAAACTCCTTCTATGTATTGTCGAATACAGAGAGAACTGCTCCTGCCTGTGCTCCTGCACTCTGAAGATGCCGGTCACAGGTGCTGGTGAAACGTTAGGAAACAAGACTTCAAGACCACGGCCACACAGCCCGGAAGACCCACACCAGCCAAAACTCCTTCTGCTCTGACACACATCACAGGAGCATTTTGTAACGGGGAGGACACGTTACACGAACAGAACTGTTGTGTGTTGTGTTGTTCGAGCCGGGTTTAGGGTTCTGCAGGTTGTGCGAACGGGTGTTGTGCAAGGCGGCCCTGTTTTAATGCCTTGCCGTTCTCCGGCGAAAAGCCAAATTGAGATTGGACGGGAGATCAATGAAGAAAAAGAAGGAGATGGGGTTTAGCCACTCTTTCGGGGTGATGGCTGAGTTCCCACGACACGCCAGACCTCACGTGGAATCAGGGACTTCGGTGTGTGGTGCGAAGGCAGCCGAAAGCTACTTATTTGGCTTGATTTCAGCCATCTTCCACCCAGCCCTCTCTTGCGCTGGCCAACTCATTCTCCCCACCATTCTTCCCCACTGAGAAAATTGGGGGCGCTCCAGCTTATGTCTGAATCCGCACTCCTGGGTTCCTGCCCCAAAGCCCTACCTTGCCCTTACCATTCATAGAAAAGCAGAGCCCCACAATTCTCTTTCAGACCCCCAGACCCTCACAAACCAAACCAGCACTGTCAAAGGGCGATAAACAGAAACTAGATTTTAATTCCGACACTTGAAACCACTCTTCCCTTGCCAGAACTAGTGGACGACAACCTCCATAATCCCCCACCAGGCATGGCCTTCTCTCCTTAAGACGGCGTGCCCTTCAGCCAGCCAGCCAGCCAAATCAAGCCCTGTGCTGGCTTGCGAGAAAACAGATTCTTTATTTCTTCCGAGCAAAAAACCCAAAATAGTCGGCTAGTCCTCATGGTCAAAAAAGAACGGAAAAAAAGATGGGGGGGAGGATGAACTTTGGGTTCTGGGTGTGAGGACAGCAGCCTACAGAGAATTGGCACTTTGGCCTTGAACTGGTCTCTCCCTAAAGGAGTATTAACTTCTTTTGTTTTTTTAAATCAGAAAAGAGGGATTCAGTCATGGTACATCTTCAGCAGGCAGGCTTTGAGAGTCCCCATGTATCTTTCCCAAAGTGCTTGATGCCTGCAAGGGGAGAAAGGGAAGGGAGTCAGGGTTTTGGGGAGGCAGACAGACAGACAGACAGACAGACAGCTTGGTCTAGTGGTGAAGGCCCCAGGCTAGAAACCAGGAGACGGTGAGTTCTAGTCCTGCCTTAGGCATGAAAGCCAGCTGGGTGACTTTGGGCCAGTCCCTCTCTCAGCTTGACCCACCTCACAGGGTTGTTGTTGTGGGGAAAAGAGGAGGAGGAAGGAGGATTAAGTATGTTCACTGCCTTGAGTTATTTATAAAAATAAGAAAGACGGATAAAAATGAATACGTTTGAAAATGTCGGAGAAGTGAAAATAAATAAAAGGTAACTGTGCTTGACCGAATCAAAACTCTGTCTGCTCCACTACTGTCCTTAGTGGTCAATCTGATGCCTTCTGCAACCTGGTGCCCTTCCCCTCCGCACTGGCAACTTGGGCAAATGAGAGCTGAACGTCAACACCCTGGAGCAGTCTTTCTCAACCTTGGCACCTTGAAGATGGGTGGACTTCGACTCCCAGAATTCCCCAGCCAGCAGGCTTGAAAGTGGGTGCACTTCGACTCCCAGAATTCCCCAGCCAGCATTACTGTTTTTTGAGGATCGTTGTGAACAGCCCAGGGTTAGGTACACAAGGCGAGTGTCGCGCAAACCCTCCCAACAAACCAAGGGGTCTCAAAGGCGTCCGCAAACCTGAACACTTCCAACGTGTGCGCGCTGGCCGTGTACTGGCTCAGGAAAAGCTGCACGTCGTTCGAGCTCCATTTGTCAGACCGAAATGGCTCCACGAACTTAAAAACAAGCAAACAGAGCCACCAGCAAAAATCAGGCAAGGTTTCCCCATGGGAAAAAGGATAATTGATGACACTTGGAAATGAGGAACTCGCTTGGACCACCAATGACTTTTGGAAGACGGGAAGAGCCTGTGTTCCCAGAAGGAGAAAGATCCAGGACCCCACCAAATCACACGAAGCTCTAATAAGCGTAATGGTTTTAATGGCTTTAATTATTGAAATTGTTCGCCACCCAGAGTCACTTGGATTGCATCAATCAATCAATCAATCAATCAATCAATCAATCAATCAATGCTGAACGGATTCACCGCAGTGCCTACAGTGACCTTCCATTCATTGGGCCGTCTTCTTCTCTTGCCCTAATATTTTTCCAATTCCCTGGCATCTTTGAAGGAGCCTCATCCACTTTTTCCAAGACCCCCCAAAATCCAAGAGAATCTCCAGCGGCCCTTTCTTGATTTAATTGAATAAAACCACCCATTTCTGCCTATGTTTCAGCTGATTCCCAGCAAATACTTAGCCACGATAACCAAAGTTTTACATGCTGGACCAAATTTGTATCAGTGTATCTCCCTGATACACTAAGCCAGCGTTTCTCAACCTTGGCCGCTTGAAGATGGGTGGAGTTCAACTCCCAGAATTCCCCAGCCAGTATGGCTGGCTGGAGAATTCT